GAGCATTCAATCTGCAGAGCATTCTCTGTAGCATTCATTCTGCTTTTCTTCGCTTTCTCCCAGATCAGAAATCCCAGAGTGGTCCAGCTCCTGCATTTAAGATGAGAAGAGCTTTCTCAGGCCTGGGAAGGAGCATTCAATCTGCAGAGCATTCTCTGTAGCATTCATTCTGCTTTTCTTCGCTTTCTCCCAGATCAGAAATCCCAGAGTGGTCCAGCTCCTACTTAAATTAAGCTATTTCACTTGAAAGCTTCAGCAAAAACCCCAATTTATGATTATTTTTCTGATCTTTCCATTTCGTATTGCTCCCTGAAAATAGCCTGCTTTAAGTGTAGAGATCTCTGTGTGTGCACAGATCTCCAGAGAAGACAAATGCTGTTCTAGGGGCTCTATATTCATCATGCTAATTGGTGTCTTTGCGGGCACAATAAGCAAAGGTGCCAGAGGCTGTTCCAGGGAGTCTAGGAAAAGGTCTGTTAGCCAAGTCCTGTGGTTGCTCATGCAGCCCACCGAGGAGCTCACTGCAAAACCGTAATGGGGTTTAAGATGTCCAAAACGACTTGAAATGGTTAATGCTGCTTTAGTGCTTTGTGTTGCCAACCTTGCCGTGTGATGCGACGCTTCTCAGCCTCCTCTGACTGCTATAAATAGCACGTTCAGGATAGATCAGCCGGAGTTGCAGTTATCAGTTCAGCTGCATCCTCATCAGGAACGGCTCCAGCTCTCGGCTGGTGGGATGTCCCTGTCTGGCAGGTCAGCACGGGATCAATGACCCACACGTGAGCTTCAAACCTGCCTGTCCAACCTGCCCTGGTGAGATGTGTAGTGCAGCTATCTGTCTGCTGAGCCCTGTTCCCTCCTCTTCTGTGCTTCCCTCGGCCTCTGGCTGTCAGAGGACGTAAGTTCAGACCTTGCTGGAAGTGAATCAAGCGCTGGAAATAGAAGCCCGGTGGGGGTCAGTTCCCTCCTCTTCTGTGCTTCTCTCAGCCTCTGGCTGTCAGAGGACGTAAGTTCAGACCTTGCTGGAAGTGAATCAAGCGCTGGAAATAGAAGCCCGGTGGGGGTGAGGCTGCGCTGATTCAGAGAGGCTTCAGGAGCTATCTAAATTAGGAGGCAGATTCTCTGCTTTTGCACGTCGAGGATGAGTAATCCTCAAAGTTATGACTTGGAGGGAAGTGTAGCAGCTCAGCCCTTACATGTAAAGCTCCCTGCTAGGAATATGCTTTAGCAACCATATGTCGCGCGCTGCCCTTTGCTGAGAGAGGAGCATCTCTGCTCTAGGGGTTGTCTGCCCTGCCTGGACCCAAGAATAAAATTAGCCAAGTGTTCCAGAAATTGTTAGCCGTGGGTGGCTACTGCTTCCTTGTCTGGCCGATAGCAAGTTGCCCCCATTTTAATACTGGTTTGCTGTTTCCTCTAAAGGGAGATGAAACGGGAGATGGTAAACCCAGTGGAGGAGAACCAGAAAAGCTGAGAACCTGCGGTGCTGGGTCTGTCTGAAGCCCTATAAAGCCATCTGGGATGTTACTGGTGATTATGTGCTGCCTGGGGGTTCGCTGCTTAAAGCAAATAATAGCGTTTTGCTTGAGCGGTGAATTATTAGAGCAATAACACATGAGAAGTCCAGGCTGTTTTATTGCAGACTGGGGCACAGAAAGAAGGGCTTAAGAAACAGCTGGATTACTGAAACTGCAAACAATGAGACAAAGTATTCACACGAAGCCAGCGATGGCAGCCTGACCCAGCCAAAGCATGTGGTTTTTCCTTGTCTCTTGCATAAATAATTCTCTCTTGCTTAGAGACATGGTGCAGGGCCAAAGGACACGGTGCAGGACGAGGTGTAGTTAACCTGTAGTGTTGCTGCAAATTTTTTTTTGATGGGCTGCTCTTTATTTATCTTTGGACTCCAGTAAGAGGATGTAGATGAGGTTTCTGTAAACAGATATATTTCCAGGGTTCACATGATGTCAAAGTATTAAGTGGTTTGGCTGCGTCTTCAGCCAGATGATGAGAATTAATGGTACATTCTGTGCACTTACAAACAAAGGCATGGATGAGGAAAGCATATGCCTATCAATTAGTTAAATGGAATCCCTGTTTAATGAAGCCTACTTCTCTGTAATCCACTTCTTGCTTGGAAACCTGTTTAGGATTATTTGGCTCATTCATTTACATGGTAATTTTTTAGGGGTTAAAATGTGACAGTCTAACAGGAGTTTAATGAGGGGTTTTCTCTAAGACATCTGAAATAGCTGAAGGAGAAGATGCTCAAGACCCCTGTGTTCTGTAGGTGTGAACTGTCTGCACATCCCCAAACCAAGAACATCCTCTTATTTCTGGTTAAATATATGACTTTCTTAAGAGTAACAGCTGTTTCTAAGGATGCCTGTTGTTCATATTCTGTGTAGTTTGGGTGGGACTGGCTGCTGTAAAATGTGAGGACTAAATATGAGTCTAACCTCGACTGATGGGAGTATAGGCTGTTCTTCCCCACAGGGAAGACTATGATTATCTATTCCAATTCCTGGTAACCTTGGCAGTCATTCCAGGAAAGACGTTTCAGGAGATCTCTCTGCTCAGCTTGATTTTTTTTTTTTTCACCTCTTTTACAATTTCAAATGCAAATATGGAATGAAGTCCAGAGCTAAGCAATGTGGCACGTGCAATCAGGTGTCTTTGCTGCTGTGCCCTCCATCTTCCTTCCCTGTGCCAAACGCCAGACCCTCCTCTTGGGTCTCTCACAGGAGAACTCAAAGTGTGTTGCAAATCATAAGCAGTGTCAGAGGCTGGTGCCTCTGATCTCTCCCCTGATCACCGAAACAAGGACAGCTCTGGAGCGTGATCTGCTCTTAATTGTAGTCAGGAGCCCTGCACAAAGTTTGAGGAGGCAAAACTTGCTTGGTTTGGCTCCAGCCATCTCCTGGCCATCTACACGCTTCTGAGGAAGGACTGCCAGACCTTCAGTTTGGTGTTGTAGCTGGACCTCCCACAGGTAAGTTTGCCTCCACCACCAAGAAGTGCCTTCAGGAGTGCAGCACCTCCCCGTCTTCTGTGAGAACCCAGCGTTGTCCAAGGAGAGCAGCCATCACGACAACTTCAGCAGCCTTTTCTGTGCTGACCCTATTTTATTTTTTTTTTGTTGATACCTCCTGGTATCAAAAGAGACTTCTAGCAACTTTCTATGGGCTAGCAGACACCCTTCCCCCCATTAAATTTGTTTTATAAACCAGATGTGGAAATTAACTTATGAGATGCTACTTGGTATTGTTAAAGTACGTTTAAAGTAACGTTTAAAGAAACCATCACTTCAAAAAGGCAAGTCTTTCAGACAGGAGCAGGTGTCCTGGGCATGAGACTGTTTGGTCACATTGATGTTCAATGCATTGGAAAAAAAAAATCCAAACCTATTCAAACAAGTTCCCTGTTGCTGCAAATTATACTTTATGTATATTCAGGTATCACCTTCAATGAAGTCCAAGGTGTATTATTTGTTTGGTTTTTGTTTAGGCTCTGAAATAAAAATAGGCTTCAGAATCTTATTTTTGTTATATTTCAAACTTCTGTAAGACAATAAATACTTTTAAAGAAAACTTACAAGACCTAGAGATTACTATGTATTTCCAAATAGGTAACACGGTGAAGAAGTTCCCTGTTGCTGCAAATTATACTTTATGTATATTCAGGTATCACCTTCAATGAAGTCCAAGGTGTATTATTTGTTTGGTTTTTGTTTAGGCTATGAAATAAAAATAGGCTTCAGAATCTTATTTTTGTTATATTTCAAACTTCTGTAAGACAATAAATACTTTTAAAGAAAACTTACAAGACCTAGAGATTACTATGTATTTCCAAATAGGTAACACGGTGAAGAAAAAACACACTGATGTGTTTAAGCACCATCTTCTGGGGTTTTTAACTATGTCATGTAATTGTTCTCTTTTACAAGTTAGAGACAAATGCTTGTGTTCTGCTATAAAGACTGGACCAGGACTCTACATAAAACCTGATCAAAAACCCTCTTTTTTTGTATGGAACGAAATCTACAACTTGGAAAAGACAGAGTTTAAAGCAACTTTTACCAGTTTAACTGCTCAAAGAATCTTCTAATGTTGCTTAGGTTCAGTATGTCTTTTTCTCACTGTTTCATTAGAGATCTTTTGTCTCTATATTTAGACAAGACTCGACTTTAGCGTAAATCTTCCAGGGGTGTGATGCCAGGCCAGAGCACGGCTGTGTCTCCTCCAGCCCTTGTCCCTGCTGCAAAATAAACAGCTGGCTCTGGGTCAGAAGGATGGAAAACAGATTTGTCAGGAGTGAGAGGATGCCCTTTTCCCTTTGGCCATTCTGCCCTGAAGACACTGCTTTACCACAGCTACTGGCTGGCCTCCTGGGGGGTACCCCATATCGCATCCTTGCTGAGTTTCTCTCAATTCCTGGTCCCGAGGGGTTAAAGCAGCCCAGGTCTGCAGACATAACCATTGATAAAAAAAAACAAACCAACAAGAAAACCCCCCAAAACCAAGCGTGTGACCCCCATTCAGCCTCCAGCTGAAGGGGAGCTCTCTAACTCGCCCTGGACCAAACTTCTGCTGGTTGTGCCCCCCCCGTGGTGGCGGAGGGACCCCTCCGACCGCCGCCAGCTCCCCCGGGGCCGCACACCGGGCAGCGGGCAAAGCCCCGGGGATGGGTGGGGGGGATGCTGAGCCGACCCCCGCCGGTCCTTACGGGAAGGGAGGAGGGGGGGAGCCACCCGAGGATGCCCCCCCCGGGCTCTACGGCCCCTCGGTGCGGCGGGTCGGGGTCCGGGGGGGGGAGACACCCGAGGATGCCCCCCCGGGCTCTGCGGCCCCTCGGTGCGGCGGGTCGGGGTCCGGTGCGGGTCCTACCGGTGGCGGCGGGTGCTCCGCAGCCCGGCGAGAGTTAACGGCGGAGCCGCCTCTCCATTGGCGGCCGGCGGAACGGCTGCGGAACCCCCCGGTTTATAACCGGAGCGCCGGGCGCCGCCGCCCTCCGCCGGTACCGCGGGCCGGGCTCCATGCCGCGCCGGCCGGCATGCCCAACCCGCTGCCTCCTTTCCTCGCCATCCTCTGCTTCGTGGCGACCGCTTTCAAGGCTCCGCTCGCCCAGGCCGGGCAAGGGGTTGAGGAGCCGCCTTGGTGCCCCTACAAGGTGTCGGGGGGCGAGGGGGCGGCGGCGGGGGGGCGGCTCTGCTTCCGTCCGCCGGCCCGTGGCTTCCAGTGCTCGGCTCGGGCTTGCCGCGCCCACCGCTCGCCCGGCGGCGCTTTGGTGGCCAACGTGCTGGCCAACGGCAGCGTGCTGCTGCAGTGGGGGCCTCCGCGCCCCGCCGCCGGCCTCCGCGGCTTCGCCCTCAACTGCTCCTGGGACGGCACCTACACCCGCTTCCCCTGCGACAGCGTGGAGCTGGGGGCGGCCTGTCGCGATTACCTGCTGCCGGAGGCGCACGGCAGCGTGCGGTACCGCCTCTGCCTGCAGCCCCGCTACGCCCCGCCGCGCCCCGCACCGCCCGCCCAGTGCGTGGAGTTCCGCCTGGAACCGGCCGCCATGCGGGACATCGTCGTCGCCATGACGGCCGTGGGGGGCTCCATCTGCGTCATGTTGGTCTTCATCTGCTTGCTGGTGGCCTACATCACCGAGAACCTCATGAGCCCGGCCCTCGGAGGGGGGGTCGCCGCCGCCGCCCCGCATCGCGCCTAACCCCGCCGGCGGCTCCCTCCCCTCCTCCAGCCCCGCATCTCCCGCCGGAGCCGCCGCCGCTCTCCGGTGCCTCTCGGGGAGGAGAGAAGTGCTGCCAAACCCCTCTTCTGACCAGCGGTTGTTGCCCAGGAAGTGTTGGGTTGAGCTCGGGTTTGCTTTTCCCAAACTTGAGGGATTTGGGGTTTGGTTTTTGGTGGGTTTTTGGTTTTTTTTGGAGCTCCGCTCTCTCCCAGGGGCAGCTTTTCAGCCCTGTGCGCGGTTACTCCTGGGATCGCGGTGGATTGAAAGTAAATGATGGCAAAGGTCCACAAGTGCCAGAAAAAAAAAATGTCCTTTTTTTTTTTTAAAGCGAGCGACAGATCTTACAGAGGGCCTGCTTGAGAAGACTCTCCAGAACACCCTTATTTTAAGCTTAAATCCCTTTTCTCCTTGAGTTTTTAGCATCCCGAGGGGGAATGTTGTTTAAAGTCGGGGGGAGAACAGACGGGTGGAGCCCCAAAACCCGTAGCTCCGTGTGCGCTGGATCCAAAGCCCACCTAAATCTCGTGACTTACGTGGGTTTTGTATCGTGCCTTAACGCTGCTGGCCAATTTCGGGACCTGGATGGGCCGCTGCCTGAAGTGACTGGGGTTTGCTGGTCAGCTGGAGTGACCATCAGCGGCCAACGCCGACCCAACCTGCTTTTCTCCAGGTAGAACTGTCGTTCCACAAGGAGCAAGGCTAAAGGGAAGAATTTAGTATGAAAATTCCATTTTGTTGTGTGCAAGTATGAACCCACCCTTAATTATAAAGTAGGTAGAGTGTAAACGAGCACCCTCCCAGCCCTCAGAAATGCCAGTTTTTGGGAACGCCGCCCGCAGCTACACGTAAGGTAGAAACGTCTTCAACACGGAACTCACCGATGTCGTAGCCGAGTGTTTCGAGCGCAGGAACACTCCTCGTCAGCCGCTCACCCAGTGCTGTAGTCAGTCAGGTTTTAGCCATATTCTAGTATTAATTCGATTGTGCCTTAGTGCTGAGAACTTGTCCCATTTCTATTGGTGTATCCGTTCCTGTAGTCTTCGCCGACAGTTGTATCTCCCCGCGTGTTTTTGTCTCTCAAACCGGTGGTTGTTGGTTTGTTTGTTCGGTTGATTGTTGTTTTCTTTCTAAAAAAAAAAAAAAACAAACTTAGGCTGATCATTACTTGAACTTTAATATATCCACAGAATAGAGTCAGTCACAGTCTGAGAGGTGTTTATTTAGTGAGCTAGTTTTTCTTCAGTGTTGCGTGTCTGTAGTTGACTGCTGTCATAGAAAATGACTTTATTTCACTTAAACTGAGCACCTAAAGCAAAAGTAGAGGCAACAGCTCTTCTGTAAAGGGGTATTGCTCCTAAAATGCACCAGTGTATCTGTTTGTGTAAATGTTTATCACTGTACTCTTTTCTTCGTGAAAGTAGTTTGTGAAGTAGAAACTTGCTAGTAGCGGGTAAATAGAGAACGTAGATGAAATCTTTAATAAAATACAGTATTTGTACTAATCGTAATCCCTTCAATAATTTGAGAGTGGCTGAGAAGCTGAAGGTCTGTATTTCATCAGGCAGAAATACCTTTTATTTGATAATTATTCTTGGGTTGTTTTTTTTTTCTCACGTGCTGCTGACTCTAATTTTAACAGTCTTTTCTTTTTATTAACTTTCCCATGTACCTGATTTAAGCAGCTTGACGACACCAAGCATCGCGGTAACAGAAGGATGGTGTCATTCATGGATATTGAAGGACGATGCCATAATTTTTTCCTTTTTTTTTTTTGATCCCTGAGGAGATTGACTGCTGGAAGAAAGGGCAATCAGTTTTTAAGAACATGAAGACAAATTGTATCTGGTGGTTTAGTGCAGTGAATTTGGGTCGAAGGTCTTTTGAAGGTTTTAAGTCAGTCTGTCCTGTAGCAGGTTCTGCACAGGACTCTTGGCGTGGCGCTGATTTTGTAAATCTCTGTCAGCTTCTGTCAACCAGTGTTACTGTTCCGTTCCTCATCTTGTCGCAAATTGCCAGATGTGAAAATTAAATGTATAAATAATGAGCCTTGTACCACCTTGGCATTGACCTTAATAAATTAAGAGAATAATGAAATGAAAACGTCAGAGATATGTAATGGTCCAAGATCTTGTTTGACTCAAAGCGAGCAGATCTGCCCAAAGGCTGGACATAATGATATGCTGTTGCCAACTGCAAAATTATGATGTTAATGGGAAAGTGAAAAGAGATTTATTCTCTGAATACTTGATTTTTGTTTCCTAGAGGTTTCGGCTGTGGGATCACAAGGTAATTCAGGTTGGAAGGTCATCTAGTCCAGCCTCTGTTCAAGGCAGGGTCAGCCAGGAGATCACACCGGGTTAGTCGGGGCCGTATCCAGCCTTGCCCTGAAAAACTCTGAGGACGGAGTCTGCACGACCTCTGGGCAAACTGTTCTGCTGCCTGAACTCCATCATGGTACTGTCCGAAATTGTAAAAAAACAAAAACAAAAAAGGCTTGGGCCACAGCAATCATTCAGGTCCAACCTAAAATACTCCTACCGAGCAGGAGGTCACAGCTCCTGGTACAAGGAGCTCATGATCTACGTGTCCAACAGCAGGGGGAGAAGAGACAATACTCAAGATGATCACTTGGGTCTTTCAGATCTAGGAAGCCAGATGTGAAATTTTGCATGAAAACTCACTGAGCCAAACCCATTAGTTGTGATAGCCTTTGGGTGTCTTTGGGTTTGAATATAAATGATCCCTATTTGACCTTCGAATGAGCTGCCCTTGGCTCCTAAATCCATCTTTGTTTATCAATTTGCTGTTCATTGCGGTAACACTGATGTAAGTCTGAGGAAACCAAGCACCAAGTTTAATTCATGGTTTTGTACGAGTCTGTCTTCAGTAAGACACCTCTGCAGGTATTGATGGGACACAGTTTCCTGCTAAAACAGCACCGAGTGGACACTACGGAGACGTTATTTGTAGTCATCTCACATCTTCAGGATCTGTCTCTGTGGATTGCGCTGCAACAGCATGCTGGGCAGAGGAGAGACAAGAGCAAAATATGTAGAACAAGAATGGAAATCCTGATGGAGGAAATTCTGCAGCTCTCTAAAGGCTTGCTTTTATCAGTTTTTTCCTTTCCATGCATTATAAATGGGATGTGGGAAACAATGGCTCATAGTTTCTCATTTGTTTCCAGTGGATTAAGTTTTAATTGGATGCATCTTGGTGTCTGGGAAAGAAAATCCTTGTTTCATTTTATGAGATATTGAGCAAAACATCTGCCAGCTCATTGGTAACTGTTTTGGTTTTTTTCCTCCATCATGAGTAGAGACATTTCTTTTTGGCATTAATGGGGAAAATTACATGTACACAGACAATAATAATTTGACTCCCACAGGCCTTTGTGAAAGCCCACAGTTAAAAAAAGCTTTATCCTGTACTTGCAGCAATTCCCAAAACATGCTGCATACCTTGTAGAGTCACCATCAATCCTGGCCTGTCCAGGCAGCAATAAAGAAGTGGCAGGATGCCCACTTAAAACTGCCAAGAAGCTGCTGTCATGCACCTAAAGCTTTGGGAAGAAGTAGAAACAGCTTCTAAGGCAACGAGAGATTCTCCTTATTCCTGTACAAGGACCTGGGTATTAAAAATCCATATGGTAGACTCGTAGGTGGTATATGGGCCTGCCTTTATCTGGTGGTTTCCAGTACAAATACCAAGCCATATCCATTTCTGCAAGAGTTAAAATGGAGAGTGATACGCTCATTAACAAGCCTGCCCTGTGCTAAATGTGAGAAAAATAACTGCTTAAATGTACGCAGCTCGAGCTCCCCCTGACCCCAGCTTTGGATCTTCTGGAGGAAACAGCCTGTGCCTCAGGCAAAGAATCTCTCTTAATTCCATTATGATTTTTTTTTTTTTTTTTTGTGGTACATAAAAGGAAAGGCTGCTTGGTTTTATTGGGAGGTGTGAGTGAAAGCTGGTATTTTGCTTCCATGGAGACCTGGAGTTGTAGTCTTACGAGACTGCAAACTGCTGCTCTGTTTCATCAGTATGTTCCAAAAGAAAGGCCAGGAAGAGTGGGATGAAAGGAGAAAAAGTGGCAGAAAACAGTTACCAGTAGTCATGTTCCTGTTAAAGGTTTAGGAATTACAGCAGTGGTGCCTGGACGGGGTCTTTTTCAGTTTTAGCCTGAGCAGATACACCCTGATGGGTAAATCTTCATCATAGATGGTTGCAGATCTCACTTCTTTACACGTTGTCTCATCTCATGTGGGAAAAAAATGGCCTTGTTTGGATTTCACATGAAAGAATGTTTTTTGCTGCAGAAATTTTCACATCACAATGTTTGGCTTGTCATTTAAAATTAATTGGTGATGAAGGAAAAGAGGGCAAGGTAAGAGGGAGGCAGGTGCCGAGGAAAGGAAGGGGGAAAGAGGGGATGTGCATGGCCTTTATTCTCCTTCCTTTAATCCCTGAATTCCTGCTGTCCCTGAACTTTGAAGCTGTGAATTTTGTCATTTTTTCATTTCCCACCTGAGCGTGGAGGCATTTTGCTCTCTGGGGTCAATTTAAGAGCAAGCAAAGGCATGTGAGTACTGGGGCCAATGTGTGATTATCTCAGGTCTTTGTGTCCCAGATTTCTGCTCTAGTGCAATAATTTTTTTTTCCTGGGATAAACACAGCAAGAATATAAGATGCACGTTCCCTTGGCAGGAAGCACTTAGCCTCTTGATGGATCCATTTAACTTGCACCCGTTTTAATCCCAAATTGATTTTGTCACAGAGTTGCTCTCAGATCACAGTTCGTAGTAGGCAGTGGATAAGAAATTAATTCTTGCTGTCTGAAACCAGATAAATAGAGCTAGAGAGCTACAAGAAAAGGCCATTTCTGAGCATTGATCCTGGCCATGATTGCAGCCAAATCTGGCACAAAGTAGCATCAATGGGAGATTCTGAGATTTTACCAGTCAGGCGGTACATAAATAACTCCCAGTTGTGGGCACTCTTATTTGAACAGTTTGAGTAAAAGCACGAGGGTTTACTCCTAAAATGCAGAATTCCATGATTAAGCGTAACAGGAAGCATATGTCTGCGTCATCTTTGCTACAGAGTCCCCAGAACAGCGTGTTCTGGGCGCAGACATGGAGGTGGGGTTGATCCAGGGGTGTCAAACCCGATTTACTTTTCCTTGGGGGTGGTTTTGCTCTCCATCCAAACCCTTCTTCCCCTGGTCTTTGGTCCATGGCCCAGCTCAGAGGGTCACTGCGACATTTGGCTGCCACCTAGTGCTGACAAGGAAAACTAGCCAGAAGACCGTTTTTCAGGGAAAAAAAAAAGAACCTGATTGCTTGAATCACATTCTCCTGAAAACTAACTAATGGGCTATGTGGCTTACGTTGCCAGGCAAAGGGGAATTATATGCGAGTGAAGTATGGAAATAGGGACTATTAGGGAAGAAGATGGGAAGACCCAAGGCCTTACCTTGTAAATTTGGAGTAATTTCTTTCTGGATGTTGGGGAATTGCCTATATATTTGGGGTTGTCTAGCTGCTAAGTTAGGCGACTTGGAGCTGGGGGCGCATTAGAATGTATCAGCTGTTGCGGTCACAGGAAATTATTCCATTTCTCTCTCCTTTTGGCACATGTAGATGAAATCTACAGAACTACAATGTCTCTGCTGGAATCTTTTAGCTGTTGTGGTCGCCTCTGAAAGAGCCTCTTGCTCCTACAGTAGCAGGACAAGGCCGTGGTGAGTTGTGACAGCGCTGACCAAGACGGGCATGTCACTGGACATTTTCCACATCCCTATGTTTATGTTTCATTTACATGTGGGGTGTGAAGGCTTATCCAGTTAAATATTGTGTACCTGTCCCTGTTTATCCACAGCGATTAGTGGTGATTAACAGCAAAGCCAGACCTTTTTCTCACAGCTACTCCCTGTTTCGCACCAGGCCTCACGTAGTTTCATTCAAGCGCCTTTCTCTGCCTCACAGTTGTCCCTCGTGTTGGAACATCTGGAAGCTGAATAGCTCATCAGGATGGAGTTTTATCATGTAGGAATATGAGGCTGTGTGCTGATAGAGCTGTCCTGGGGGAAATGAGAAGCTGGGTCAGGAACCAAGCCTTTCTGCAGCGCTGTTTCCAACCACTCGCTCCATGTGGAAAACTGGAAATAAATGGTGCCGTGCTTGTCTCCGAGTCACCAGGGACACCCCTGACTCTTCTGAGGGGCTTTTCTCTCTTTTCTCCCTCGGTAAGTGGCTGAAAAGTTAGGCAGTATTTTTAGTTCAACAGTTCAACCAGCAAGATTCACGAATTCTTCCTAAACGACCTGTTTTCTTTTGTAAACCCATGAGTCCTTGTGGGTTGCATCTGCTGGTTCGCCGGTGCTGCCCAGCAGGCCCCGGAGGAAGCAGTGTTTATTGAGAACAATCCATGGCCTTTTGGGTCTCCGATGGGGAAAGGCTGAGAGACCTGGGGCTGTTCAGCCTGGAGAGGAGAAGGCTGAGAGGGAAATCTCATCAATGCTGAGCAATACGGCATCCCTGCCCATGGCAGAGGGTTGGAACTAGATGATCTTTAAGGTCCCTTCCAATCCAAACCATTCCATGATTCTAATATCTGAAGGGCAGGTGGCAAGAAGATGGGGTCAGGCTGTTCTCAGTGGTGCCCAGTGACAGGACAACGGGCAGAACCTGGAACACAGGAAATTCCATCAGCACATGAGGAAGAACTTTGTTAACTTGGTGGGTGAGGGAGCACTGGAACTGCCCAGAGAGGCTGAGGAGTCTCCTTCTCTGGAGGTATTCAAAACCCACCAGGATGCTGTAGGTGACCCTGCTTTGGCAGGGGGGGTTATCAGACATTGGAATGGGCTGCCCAGGGAGATGGTTGAGGCACCATCCCTGGAGGTGTTCAAAAGACGGGTTGATGAAGTGCTGGGAGGTATGGTTTAGTGATGATGCTCCTTGTTTGTTGTGGGGGTGTCTATTTTTGTCAAAGTTAGGTTGACGGTTGGACAAGATGATCTTTAAGGTCCCTTCCAACCTAGAAGATTCTGTGATTCTGTGATCTCTGGAGGCCCTTTCCAACCCCCGCCATTCCCTCATGGCTGCTGGGTCGTCTGTCAGAGGCCCGACACACCGAGGGAGGCCGCCCGGGAGCCGGTTCCGTGAGAGGCCCAGGGCCGCCCCGCTGAGGGGACTGCCTTCTCCTCAGGCAGGAGCCGCCGGGGCAGTGGCGGGGCCGGGCCCTGGCCACAGACCGTTGCCGCCCTCCCTCTCCCTCTTCACGGCAGCGGCGGCGGCCTCCGCCCCCTGACGCCCGCTCCGCGGTTGGCCGCCGCGGGGCGGCGCGGCCCTGGCGACACGTCCCGGCACCGCCCGCCGCCGGGCCGCCGCCGCCATTTTGTGCGAGTCCGCGGCCGGGGCCGAGAGGGTTTGGGAGCCGCGGGGAGGGAGCCGGGCCCTTTCCCTGCGCCGCCATGCCTTCCTCGCCGCTCCGCGTGGCCGTGGTCTGCTCCAGCAACCAGAACCGCAGCATGGAGGCGCACAACATCCTCAGGTAAACAGGGCCTGCCCGAAAAACACCCTTCCTTCCTCCCTCCGGCGGGCCGCGCCGCCGGGCCCCGTCGCTGTGTCCTAGGCCGCAGCGGCCGCCTCCC